GCCTTACCTCTTAAGATCCCTGATATGTTTAGGTTCTCTCCCTCTTTCTGGCACTTATTTTGGGATTTCCTCATTAGAATTTTATTCAGGAGCCCATTTTAAGGAATCTTGCAATAACTTGGGACCATAATTTGAAAGATTTTAACACACACACACACAACCCAACCTCCATCCTCTCACAACTGGCAGCAGGTATAGATGTCCCAAAGCCAGAAGTATTTTATGTCACCTCTGAAGAGCGTTGGTGTGAAAGAGAGGGAGAGAACGGGCGGGGTGAGGGAAGGTATGTATGTGGCGAGCATGTGTTCTTAGGACTTGGACCTTTAATTCCTCCGTCTCCTCAGAAGTTATCACCTCGCTCCTTCGATAGTCCAAACAGTGATGGAGCTATCTGAAAGCTTCTCTTCCGTAGCCGGCGAAATATTTAACAAAGCGTGGCTTTCTTTCCCAAGCGATTGGTCGCCCTGATGGTCCGCTATCGAGGTGGCACTTAAGCAGAGGCCGGACTTTTCTTGTCCGGGGGGCAAAATGGCACCAGCTGCATTTGCGGTCCCAACTGGAAGCTCCGTCCGGCCGATAGCGATGCTTAGCATTTTTTATGAGAAGATATTTTGGTAAATAGAAAGACTGTGAGTTCTGGGAAAGAAGGAACTATATCTTCTCCAATGATGAGGGTGCCCGATCCCGACGGAGCCTCCCATTCCCCAAATTATATCCGATTTCCACAGTGCCCAACCTGATCTCTTAAAAGTCCCGACCTGCTCCCCCCCACCCCCCGAAAAAACGGGAACAGCCTGTGCCTCTGAGCCTCAGCGGGTGGAGAGATCCCGAAGGAACTTGAAGATTTGGAAGAAGAAGGAGCAATACACCTTGGGAGATCCCGAAGGAGAGAAGGGGAGGGAGCGGGGCCCCGCTAAGAAGTCTGATTATCCCAGCATAGCCCCTCTGGCCAGTCACCCAACCTTTTACTCTTGTCATGAATCGGGGTAAGGCCGTTTTCATTTCTTTTTGCAAAAGTTTGGTTGTTTTGGTTTTCTTCCAGAATGCATCTCAGAATTTATCGCTTCTTCTACCGATGAAGAAATGAAGGCAGAGTGAGGGATTTGCCGAGACAGCAATATTTTGTTTGACACTGGGAGTTCGCCAGTGTCAGCTGGATGGATGCCTGGAAGGCTGCTGTGAGCAAGAGTAGGGCTGCTCTTGAATGACTCCACCTATCGGGATTCTTAAATGGTAGAGGAGAAAGTCGCTCGGTTTCAGGATCAGTAGCAGTACTTTATTCCTTGGTGGAATGGACGCAGAGAAGTTTTCGAAAGGAAGACAAACCAAAGTTTCATGCCAGAGGGACAAATTGCTTTTTTCTCCCCGATGCCCCACTGAAAATGTTTGTCCAGTGGTTAAAGGCAAGACAAACAAGAGATGTGTGCATCTCTTGTTGGGTGCTTCTCACTCTGTGATGCTTGAAACAGGTGAGCGCTTCTCTGCGCGCTCTCCCCCCCCCCCCCCCCCCCGCTTCTAGAGCTGCTGCGAACTGGAATCCCATTCCAAAACCCTTCCGGGAAATAGTGGGGCTGTGATTCTTTACACACACACACACACACACAAAATCCCTTTTTAGGCTACTATAACACCGTGTATTCCGCTTTTATTCAGGGTTTTACAATGTCAGCTGTAGTGAAAACTCTAAAAATGAATTTCGGAGATCTCTAACTGATAATCTCTCAAACCAGGAGTTTGAGTCGGCCAAGAGAGCACGCGCGCGGCAGATGAATGTACGCGTACGCGCATTTAAATTGAAAGTTAGATCCATTTAAAATCGGACGCTTTTGATCGCATGCTCGGATTTTTCTTCCGCTGAGAGATCGCTTCCTTTTTGGAGAAAAGACTCTGAATGGGGCTGCTAGGCGAGGTTTTGCTACCACACTGTTCATAAGTACAGGTGCTTTTTTGCGCGCTTGTAGCTATTGGCGCCTCTGAAGAAGGAAGCGCAGAGGAGAAGAAGAAACGCGCCTTATACAGACCTTTTGTGCTTCTCTTTTAGGCGCGGGGCGGGAGCTTTACGGTGTGTTTGGAAAATGTATGTATGGGCGTGTATCGCTACAGGGAGACAAGACGAAGCTTTTCTGGTCTGGAGGCAAGAATTTCAAGTCAGGTTCCACTTGCATTAAAAAAAAAAACCGTGGTTACTAACACCCACTCAAAACAGACATATAAGCGAACAGAAAGCCATTTTTAACATTGTTAAGTTGTCCTATCAATAGAACTCCATTCCAGGGACATCCATGTACACAATCGACAGCTGTCCTTGGAGTCAACTCAAAATTGGGGATGTCATGGTTTGAGGCCGGAATACTACCCTCCACTCCACCCACTTGGGTGGGTAACGTGTAGCCGAGATGAAAAAGAATCGAAGTGATTATGTTGGAGACGCACACACCGCTTCCGCACATACCGGTACACTTTGCAAAGCACGACTTCTTTTCATATGCATGAACCAGGCATTTGTCTGGCGTACGTATGTAACCTCTAAATATACCTTGGGGAGCAAGCACTGAGCGCCCCCGGGCAGAGACGGAAAATGCATCTGGCTGAAAAATGACTCGTGTTTTGCAACTCTTTCCAATCAATCTATTTACCTTCTCGGCTGCCAAGCGCGGAGAACGACTCGCAGCTCATATTTGCCGGGCCCCTAAACGGGAATTTGGGTTGTCTACTTAAGACTAGAACTTCAAAGGAGATGGGAGAAAGCCGGCGGCCCTGGCGGACAGTGCGGTTCCCGAAAGAAGCTGGAGTGCTCAGAAGAAAAAGCTCCGCTTCCCGTCGAGGGCGCCCAGGTCCTGCCAAATCCAGGGGTCCGAGATCTGGAGAAGGTCGGCGGCAGGAGAGATTAGGGGTGGGGTGGGGATAGCAAATTTGGTTCCTTCTTTGCTGATGATCGAAAGGAAAGCAAAGCCACCCCTTTTCTTACCTGCTACCCTGCTCATAAGGTTTCCCTATAACTGTATGTAGGAGCGTGTATGGACACTGACTATAAAGAGTCTGTGTTGTGTATGCTTCGAAACTTAATCGAAAGAAAGAACGCGGAGATGGCTCAATTTACCAAATACCTACCCAATCCCTCTTCTCTTTTAAGTGGGAAATGCACGTCGCCTTGCGAAACAGGGTAGCAGGTCGCAGCTTTTTTAACCCATCTTTTTTGGGTTTTTTTTTTTTGGGGGGGGGGGGGGGAGAGCTAGAAAACCATCTATTAAAAACAAAAACCCGAGACCGCCAACTGGAGTCTGTGTTGTTATGAATTATTGGGGAAAAAAATCTCTTTAAGGGCAAAAATAAGAGAAAAGGCCGCCTTTGGACCGGTTTAAAACTAAGCAGGTGCACAAAGCCAATACGCCCTTAAAAGAATCCGGCCTCTTCGGGGATTTCAGGGAAATGGTTTCCATTTAATAAATATTTTCCCCCAAGCCCAAGGGCATTTTGCGTTAGGCAGCAATTATTCAAAGAAAACAGGCGTGGAAGGGAGAAAGGGCTCCTATGGGTATTTCGTTTTCTTAGAAGCCGATCTTTAATAGCTTGAAAATAACAATAAAACCCCAGAACGGGGAGAGAGAGAGAGAGAGAGAGAAAGAAAGAAAGAAAGAAAGGTTAGCTCTTGAAATGGGGGCAACTGAGAGAAACCCGCCACAAAAAAGCGTCTTCATCAGTTTCGCGGCGTCCCTTTGAGCGGGGACTGGATTTCTTCAGTGGGTTCCCTCCTTTGCCCTCCGTTGTAGCAAATTCTTCGGAAGAAGCGGGAGGGGGAGGGGAATACCGACCCATTTCTCTCCCCGTTTGTCAGAGCTCTCCGAAGGAAGTGTCGCCGCCTTTGCTTCCCAGCCCTGCCCGGTCTATTAACGTTCGCCTGGTTCCGTCCGGCCCGAACTTAGGTGGCTCCGAGAAGAGAGAGAGGGGGGGGGGGTTAAGGGGGGAGGGAGGGAGAGAGAGAAGAAGAACTAGGGGCGCTGCTCGCTCCTCTTGGTTTGCTCTCACTTTCGATGCCCCGCGTGCTTCCTGTTGTCGGTCTCCCCGCTTCCCCGCCCTCCCCCCGCGCCCCTCTTCCAGCCCGGCTGGATCCGGGGAGAGGGAAGACGAGCGCCAAGGAAACGCGGTGCGCCTTTGCCCTTGACTCGTGCGCTGTCCCCATTGATAAAGTGACACACACTCTCTCTCTCTCTCTTCCCCCCCCCCGCCCCCTCCCTCCGCAAGAAAGGAGAGGATTAGAATCCAGCCCTTTCGTCTCCCTCCGCCCCCCACTCGCAGCCCCGGCGTTTCCCCCCCTCCTACTCCGCCCCCAAACGAGGGGGCGTGAGGCGTTTTATTGGCTGCCGCTATTAGTGCGCCGTCGAACAAAAGCGGCTCCTTTAATCCCGAGTCTTTAGTGATTTCTTCTCCCTTCGCCCCCCGACTCCCTCCCTCCCTCCCCCGCCTCTTTTTTCGCTCCTCGCCTTTCCGAAGGTAGCCTTTCCCTCGAGCTGCCGCTTAACGGCCGCTGATTGGGCCCGCCGGCTGGGGAGAGTGAACGCCCCGCTCGCAGCCCTCGTCAGCTTGCGCGCCGTCCGAAGCAGGCTCGCCTTCCAAGCGCTGGCTTTCGGCTTCCACTTTGCCTCCTCCGCTTGCCTCCTCGGGGCCGCCTTTCGCGCCCCGCCGTCGCGGCACCCGAGCGCCTGCAACTTCGACGGGGGTGAGGGAGGGAAATCCCCAGCGAGAGCCTCGGGAGAGCGCGCCATCCCGGGCGAGGCCCGGAGACTCCCTGGCTTGCCCGCCTCCGTCTTGGGCTCGCCGTCCCTCGGGGCACCTCGGAGGGGACTGGATTGCTGGGAGACCTGGTATGATCAGCTGAGAGGGAGGCGGCGGCGGCGGCGGCCTTGGCTGGAAGGCAGGCGGGGAAGCGGAGCCGGCGAGCGTACGGGCGTACCAGCGAGCGGCGGCTGCTCCTGGAGGCGCCAGACGGTCCGCGCAGCACCATGTCCAAGCCTTCCGATCACATCAAGCGCCCCATGAACGCCTTCATGGTTTGGTCCCGGGGACAGCGTCGGAAGATGGCCCAGGAGAACCCTAAAATGCACAATTCGGAGATTAGTAAGCGCCTCGGGGCCGAGTGGAAGCTGTTGTCCGAGGCCGAGAAACGCCCTTACATAGACGAAGCCAAGAGGCTGCGCGCCCAGCATATGAAGGAGCATCCCGACTACAAGTACCGGCCCCGCCGCAAGCCTAAGAACTTGCTCAAGAAGGACAGGTATGTCTTCCCTTTGCCTTACCTCGGGGATACCGACCCCCTCAAGGCGGCAGGGCTCCCCGTGGCAGCCACAGACTCTCTGCTCAGCTCCCCGGAGAAGGCGAGGGCCTTCCTGCCCCCCACCTCCGCACCTTACTCTTTACTTGACCCCAGCCAGTTCAGCTCCAGCGCCATCCAGAAGATGACCGAGGTGCCCCACACCTTAGCTACCAGCACTCTGCCCTACGCCTCAACCTTGGGATACCAGAATGGGGCTTTTGGCACCTTGAGTTGCCCGAGCCAGCACACCCACACTCACCCGTCGCCAACCAACCCAGGCTACGTGGTGCCTTGTAACTGTACGGCTTGGTCTGCGTCCAGTTTGCAGCCTCCTGTTGCCTACATATTATTCCCGGGCATGACCAAGACTGGAATAGACCCCTATTCTTCAGCGCACGCTACAGCCATGTAACACCCAAACCAAACTCTCACTGGCAGTCCCACACATTGCAGGCGACTGGAATCTGTATGGGGCCAGCGAGACTGGCCAAAGGAAGAAATCGGAAACCGATCGTTGTGCATGTACCATACCGTACTCCAGAAACAAACAATCCGCCTAACCGAAAGCCACTTGGGCATGGAAAGATGCCCTGGGGAAATCTCTTCCACCTGGGCAAAGACTATGAGACTCTTCGGGTGGGCTGGTGGGGGGACACCAAGACCTTAGAATCCAAAATCCAAAAAATCTCACAGTCTTACCGAAAACTTTCTTTCCTTGCTTTCTGCACTTGGGGCTCAGATTGGCCCAAAACTTGTACAACTTGTAAATGTGTCAAACTTTTAACTGCCCTTTTGGCTAAAGGTCAACAACAAACCTTTTGATTTTTTATTTATTTATTAATGTTAATGAGTTTGTATGATTGAATGTTATTTGGACTTTAATTTTTAAAACCCCAGAACTGTTCTAACCTAATGATACCCTACCTTTTTTTCCTTTGCACATTAAAATCAAGACTTAGCTGTGTTATATATATATATTCTATATATCTATATTTTATCATCCAGCACTAATAGATAACATTGCTTTTCATGTCAGAAAGATTAAAATAACACAATGACTCTTTAGAGTTATTAAAGGGGGGTTAAAAGTTTTATATTTCAAACATAATATGATAGTATTTGTTTAATTTTAAACAGATAGTCTTTCGATTTGTGTGAATAAGTGCAAGTAGGCCTAAGTTTACTTTAGACAGAATGTCAGCTATGATGTCAGACTGTAGTTTTTTTCTTTTTTAAATAAAAAGAGAATAAAAATAATTTTTAAAAAAGAGTAACATGGTGATAAACTAATATGGATTAAAGTGTATTGGGGAGACAATGTATCCAAAAGGATTTTACCTCGTCAGTTCTGTTCATTTGTTGAACAAAAAAAAAAAAAAAAGGCATTTTGAATAAAGACAATCTGTCGTGCAACCGGTCAACTATGTTTTGTGAATCCCATTCCAGTTCTCATGATCTTTCATGTAAAAGCTTTATGGAATGCAAGAAAGTCGAAAACTTAAAGGTTTCCTTTGACTTGCCAAGGTCTTGGGCTTTACATCCTGCACAACAGTAGCTCTACAGAAAAGTAAGGAAATGTCAAGAACCTAAAACAGGATTCGAGAGTTTTGAAATCTGGGCATAATCCACTGGCAAGTTCTCCCGCACAGTTATACTGAGTTGAGCTAGCTGGTGCCTGAATCAATGTCAGTGATGGAGAACCTCTGGGTGAATTCTGCTCACCTTCTTAAAATCTGTTTCCTATGGCACGTGTGCTGTGCAGAGCATGCACATATATTTGTATGAATACATACATACACTTTTGTGGCCAATTATTTCTAAGGTTACCTTCGTTCTTCTTCAACATCTTTTCCTGTATTACAGAAGGGGGGATAGAAGATGAGCCAGAAAGTGTGACTCACTTAGTCCAAGTCTCTATTTCATTCCTTGATATGAGCCCCTTGAGTATATATTTTCAGTATTGCATGATCCAGGAAATGTCAGACGAGTCCTTCATCTCCACCTTTTGTGATCTGTCATACAGGGATTGCACTAAAACACATTCCCTAGGAGAAAGTGGGACTTATTTCTGAATAATTGTGCATAGATTTATGTCCTGGGAACCCCAAATATCTTAAGTATATGCACATTCTCTCCCCCATCCTCAAATCTATCTGATTATGTACAGATTTTATTCTAAAGCAAGTATGCCCAAAACTGAAGCACATTTTTGTGCCAAAGGGGTATTAGTCCCAGTAAAACTGATTTACAAGAGGCCAAATCTACTTTAAAAGCCTGAGAGTTATCTTTAATCAGAGGTAAGTCCCATTAAATTCAGTGAGACTTACCCTTAGGTGCCTGTGTACAAAACTGATGACTTAGTAGAAATAGGGAAGGGGAGTAGAAAATCATTTACTAAGATCCAAGATTCATTCATATTCACTCCCCCCCCGCCCCCCCCCCCCCATGGAAAGATTATGTTCTTGAAATGTTTCCAGCACATCAGAAAGTAAAATAAATAATGCATGTTTTTTAAAAAAGATAAAGGATACAATATTCCTGAGTCAAACTTGATTCTTGGTGACTTCATGAATCCATCCATGTAGGATAGTTTTCTTGTGGCAATATTACCGTGGCCTTTTTTGGGGGGGTGGGGGGGAGTGTTGATTTTCTAACTTCCCACTCTGGCCTAGAGCCCTAAAATTCCTTGTGGTCCCCTTTCTAAGAACTAGCTCAATTGTTTCTGCTTAGTTTTATAGTCCTTACTGGCCAGCCAAGTGCTGACACCAGCATATTTGTATTTGTTCACAAACTGAAACAGCTGCCCACGTGGGAAAAGCTAAAGGTTTCTTGGAAAGTAGAGATTGCTGAAAAAAAGGCGAAGTTGGAGGTGGATTTGGTGGCATGATAAGGGTCACTTTAGCTACAGCTCTGCAGGATGGGAACACTTCTGTGGATGTGCAAACTACCTTTTTGATGTCACATCTCTCTGGATTAGATGCATATTTAAAGGTTTCCAAGGAAGATCATAGGTAATTTTGTTTAATTGAAAGTATCCATTAGGGAAGCAGCAGGTTTTTTTTTTTGTGTGTGCTTTAGTTATTTTGTTTGGATCTGCAGCCTTAATTTCCCTCGGTCATGGTTTCCAGTCAATGTGGACTATCTTTCCCTAATCCAATATAGGCCTGTAGGAAGGTGGTTGGTTGACAGCCCTTGCAACCATGGATAATGGGAAATATAGCCCAACTCATTCAGAAACTCTCATACTGAGAAAGCTGGTTGAGACCTTGGGGAACCTCGGTTTAGTGACTTTCCTTGCCCTTTTGCAAGCTCTTCTTTTCCTCTTGTCTCAAGTCAGAATCCTGCTTTACAACAGCCTTCCTCTTGCCCCCCCCCCTCCCCCGTTTCAGTTGAAGTTTTCCCAAAATCCCAAAGAGGAGTTCGGGGAGGGAGAATCTCTGACAGAGTCGGAAGAAAAGTGGAGCTGGACAGATTAGCATCTTGTCCCAAACAATTAGCGGTGTTTGGCGCTTCTATTCATCAGGTCTCTCTCCTTTTATTACCGAAAGGGTTTTCATTAAAAAGGGGGAAAGGGGGAGGAAGAGCGAAGAGAGAGGGTCGCAGTTGTCCATCTGGCTGAGTTGAATAGCGAGGGTGATCCGTGTTGTAGATGTTTTTCTCATTAAGTGCTCTTTTGAGACCGCGGTTAGAATTAAATGGCACAACACAATTAACATACACGGAACCTGAATGGCAGGGTAAGCAGTATAAAGAATAGACAGATAAATAACTGAGGGATCGGGGCGAAGGTAAACAAAAGAACCGAAGAGGGAGGCTTTGAAAAGCGAGGTTAGGATGGCTGGGCCACGCTTGTTTAGCATGACAAAAAAAAAAAAAAAAACCAAGAAGGAGAAGAAGAAGAAGCAGGAGCCCGCTTACAAACGGGCGCAATTAAGATCTGGCGCGACCAGGGACGAGGTCGGAGGAAGCGCCGAACCAGGATGGTGGGACACTCCGACGTTGACACGCGGCCAGGGAGACCAAGGGAAGCTGCCAGGCGAGCCGGTTGGGCTGGCGGGCGGGCTGCCTGATTTAACCCCAGTTGACAGTAGCTGTCAGGACCTGTGATAACGTTCATAGCTCAGTGTCCTTTAACATCTATCGAGATTAGGTTTAAGGCGAAGCCTCGAGGGAGGCGGCTGACGGCCGTTCGAGGTCTTCTCCAACTCCGCAGATCGGGGATGGAGAGTCCCAAGGGCGGAGCAGTAAAGGGGGCGCTTCCTAAAAGCCTCGGGGAGACTCCCGCACCTGCCCGCCCCTCCTCCCAAGGGGCCGGTCGGTCTTCGCTTCTCTCCGCCTCAGTTTTGGCCGGGCCTCTGCTTTTCTCCCGGCCCATGCGACTGGCAGCCCGATTCTTCTGGGCCAAGCGGGGATGGTTCCCCCTTTTCTTGCGGGCAATTCCTTGAAACGCGTTTGGCCACCAAGCAGCTTTTCTTCAATCCGGCCAGTTAATTTTCCGTCCATTTAACCATCCGCGAGGCAGGGTTCATCTTACCTAGCCGTTTGCTGTAATTTGCTGGAGGGAACGTCCCGCCAAAGAGGTAGAGAGGGCAAGGGAGGTGCTCCTACTTCTTTACGGAGCCATTTCTGCTTGAGGAAAAGCATGCAGGTTTGTTTAGCTACACGGCATTCTTCGTGAGGAATTACGAAAAAGCATCCGATTCTCAACACTAACAATGTTTCTATAATGGCGTTTATTGCTTATTTAATACCAAAAGATAGACGGTCCAGACGATTTTGTTGAAGAGCGTCCCCAAAAATCCTTTATGCTTCGGAAGCCGGCACTTTCAAAGTGCTAAAAATGTGCAGAGGAATTACTTTCTTTATAGTTGATTTAAAAAATAATAATAGAAAGTTGGTATTAAAAGAGCTTCAATATATTTTTACTGTCCACCTCAACGTCTCTCCTTCTGCCCCCACCATTTTTTTTTTCATTTCTTCCCAAGTTCCGTCTTCCAATAGGATTCTTCGTTTGCAGGTGTGCAGCTATTTTTATGCATGCAGATGTCTCTCTGCGTGTACACCTACACGTTTGCTTTGACACTGAAATGAACAGATTACTGACTTTGATGTCAAAAGATCAGAAGGGCAGAGGGGGAGAGAGAAGGAGGTGAGAGAGTGAAAGAAGATATTAACTAAATAGGCAGGAAAGAGTGAAGTCAAGAGGGTCCCTGTCAAACCTGTTTATCCACAACTGTCTCCTTTCCCCCCATAAAAATCATTAAACAAAAGACCGGGTTAGGAGGAGTACCACACCTGTCAGAGAAGGGGCACCCTAAAAAACCAGCCCTTTCTTTGCTTGCTCTCTTTTTCTCCCTCCCTCTTTTATTCTTAGCTGTCGGGTGTTGGGCTATCTAGGAGGGGGAGATCATC